GTGTCAAACGCCGCTAATCACGTATATGACACAAGATAACACACCCCCTGGACCGATTTTCAAAGCTCGATTACTCCACGACGAAGAGGATGCATAAATGAAACAATACGTTTTCGAACAGCTCTCGACGAGACGGTTCCAACGCCGCCGTTTTCGGCGCTGTGACTCTTCCTGCTGTTGAGAAATCGAGCTTTGAAAATCGGCCAAGGGGGTGTGTTATCTTGTGTCATATACGGTATTTGCAATGCAAGACCTGCATGTATTTTCACATACATGCACACGTCGTCTACCCTTTTACACTTCACGTCTCAGCGGTGTACAGTATCATCCATCGTATCAACGCGCCTGCCGTGGAAGTGAGACCATAAAATCAATCTTGATCTTGGACAGACAGGGAGGCAAAGTTTTGTTGTATCCGCTTGAGATTTTCTGGGCAATGTCGTATCGAAACATCGATAATCGGATCATCGACCACTTTGGCGAACATCGGAAAACATCGCATCGGCACCCGTTTTGCGGGCGATGTCCATCACTGATCTGAAGTGACAAGGTTGTGACCCCCGTCGATCATCCGCGCTTATTTCTCCTCCCCTCTCCCCTCTCAGCACCCTCTCCGCAACAATGTAGCAAAAAAGCAGCACTTGTTCTACAGAGACATATATTTAGATGGATACGTGACCTCTCCCGAGCTGCCCGAGCGACAGCTGCCGAGGTCGCTGTCACTGCTGTGTTGGCTGCTGCTGCTGCTGTGGTCCTCTTCGTCTCCTTCATAACACGTGTCGTTGTCATGTTGTGATGGAGTATCCGCAGCTTCCGCAGCGAGTGGTTCTGCTGCGACCACCACCTGTTCTTGTTTGGAAGTGGCTGCGCTTCTTTTGTTTGCCGGGAGGACGCCCAGCCATGTGGGGGCTTGTGTGGGCCCTTGTGGGAGCGTGTGGTACTGCTGTATGATGTGGATGGTGGTGTGTCGTGTGGTCATGCGTGGTGTGTGACCACACCAAACTTTGAAGGGCCATATCTCGCCAAAATAAATTCTTTGGAAAAAAATAAAAAATGTGTGTAGTGGGTGCAGGTCCAATTCG